GGAATCTCGGTTTCCTACAAGTGTATTAGAATATGAACATTGGAGCTTGCATGCGACCGACTTACCGAGTTCCAAGTGTAGACTGGCTCGCTTGATGTAGCTCTGAACGAGGGATGGTTGAAGTTCCACACTCTTATCGAGGTCCTTTAGTGCTGCTTGCGCATCACCCTCCAGGTATGTGAATGTTGCTCGCATGTTGAGCGCCAACCCTTCGTAGTCTCCAAGGTCGCCAGCTTCGACGGCCTTCTCGAAAGCTCTGGCAGCCTCCTCATATCCATCTCCAGTCCGCTTGCCCATGGCAAGGAAACCCTTCCGAAGCTGACCCTTTCCACTTTCCTCGTCCAATTCTGCCGTCTCTTCGAGACCCTCGGGGATGGGCTTCGGTCGGAAGCTTTGGAGGTAGTTGGAGACGAAAGTAGCACTCGGCAACTTCTTTCCCTTGGCTTCAAGGATAGCCTTCCCCTTCTGCTCCGCAACCTTCTTCAACAGCCTTTCCACGCTGAGTTTGCTCGACTCGTTGCTGAAAGCGTCGATTATGCAGCTTGCGGTGTAGTCAAGGAGGGCCTCGCTGAATTTCCCAAGGTGTTCGTATGCCGTCGCTCTTCGGTTCAATGCTTTGACGTATTCGTTGTCCATCGAGATGGCCGCCGACGTGTCCTCGACCACCTTCTCCCAGTCACCGAGCACATTGTAGCAGGCCGCACGGTTGGAGTAGTAGACCGGATCCGCCTTGCAGAGGATGGCTTTTGCGTACAGGTCGATAGCTTTGTTGTATTCTTTCGATCCGTAGGCTTTGTTGCCGGCAGCTTTGAGCTTGGCAGCATATGATTTTCTGGTCTGAAATTTTATCAGCAGGCGTCTTCATCAGAAGCGACGACCAAATTTACCTCTTCTGAAAGGGTCTCAACGGAAGCTTCATCAACCTCTGGAAGCTCCTCTGGAGCTTCCTCAGCCTTCTTCTTCTTGGCTAACTCTTTCGAAATTTCATGCATTGTCAGCGTTCTTGAACCAACGACAACCATGAAGACAACGCAATCATACCCTCATCAGCAGCGGACTTCTCGGCCTTCTTCTCCTCCTCAACCTTCTTCTTCTCCTTCCGCCTCTCCTTCTTACTCTTCTTCTTCTCCCCCGATGGAGCAGCAGCCCCTTGGTCCTGACCCTTGGATTCTGAAGAAAGATAGTACACCACGCCAGCACTAGTCACCACCACGGCGACACCGGCAATTGTGTACACCACCGCCTTATTTTCCGAGGCCCATGTTGAGATACGATCCCAAAGTGACGATGTTGAAGATTGTGCCAGTGTCGATGTGTCGATGACCACGTTTTCCGCGGATTTGACTGCTTCTGTTGCGTTGGACATTGCTGCTTAAAAAAGAGGACAAGAAAGGGAGAGAGGTAGAGATTCCGTGAAAACGCCCCTTGAATTTCCTTTTTTTCGTGTCCTTGAGAAAGAATTAAAAAGATATTAAGAAGTTGTAAAAGGAAAAGAAGGGTAGAGAAACGCGGGTTGTTCAGGAGTTGAATTGAAGATTGTTAAAAGAAAATTATCGTGACGGGTTGATGATTCTTTTTCTTTCTGCACCCACAAGGCGGTGGAGCCAATCGTGTTGGTTGCTTCTTTACTCCGCCAAATGTCGTGAACCTTCAACTTTGATGAGAATGAGCAGTTGATGACGAGACGAGACACGGATGGGGATTAGAGAATAATGGCAATGACTTTGGATCTGGGTTATATTTACTGAACACTCACCTGTCAATCGACCTACTAACAAGCAACTGGTGTGCCTCCTTGAGCTCCAGATAGCTTCAACTCTGCCCAAAACGAAGCGTTTCACCACTAAAACGAGAATTGCATGCATCACCCACTCACTATACCCAGACTCACAGGACCATGGCGACTTCAACTTCCACTCTTGAGGAATTCCAAATAATATCCACCCTCCGATACGACCCTGACCTCGCAATCGCAGCCACAAACGCCCCGGCAGACTCCTACCCACCCCCCCAAAACTCCCCATACTACCTCCTCTCCTACCACCACGCCCGCCTCCTCTCCGCCGCCAAACACTTCCAATGGGACCGCGCAATCGACGCCCTGCAGAACCTTTCAGTGGTAGGCCGCGACCTAGAACCCCTCTCCCAAACCCTCGACTCCCATATCCCCGATAAATCGAAACCATGGCGTATCCGCGTAGCTCTGTCGCGCGATGGCTCGATCGCCGTAACTACAGGTCCCACGCTCCCGTTCTCGTCGTATATACTTCTCCTCCCGCCACCATCACAAACCCACCTTCCGTCTTTCAGCACCCTTCCTGAACCAGACGGTGGTGGTGGCGCCATTTGGCGTCTCTACCTCGACACGCAGCCTATAACACCGTCCGGGTTCACGACGCATAAAACGACGGCTAGGGATGTGTATAAGGAAGCTAATGAACGGGTCGGTATCAATTCACCCGAAGAGTTAGCTGAGGTCCTCGTCTACAACCCGCTGGGGGAAGTCATGGAGGGGAGTAAAACGACTCCTTACTTTCGGCGACGGAAGACCAGTACTTCATCTGGTGGGGAAGAGGACGGTGTAGAATGGGTGACACCGCCTCTGTCGAGTGGTGGGAATGATGGTACGACGAGACGGTATGCGCTGTCAAGAGGGTTCTGTGTTCAAGAGGTTATTAGGATGACGGATATTGTGGAGGGGGAGGTGTGTTGGTTGAGTAATGGTGTGAGAGGGTTTATGAAAGCCGTTGTTGTCCCGAGTAGTTGATACATACCCCTTCGCTTGATACCCGTGGGATAGGCAGAGCCTTGAATGCGTGATGATGAAGATGAAAAAATGAATGAGATAAAGACTAAAAGTATGTACAAAGCCAGAATATATAACTCGAACAAGAGCATGAGCTTGGGCTGGACCCGACGATATATCTCTATTCATGTCTCTTCAAGATGTCAGGGTCTTTGGTATCTCGAATGTAACTCGCCGCCGTGCTTCTCGAACAATAAAGAGACCCCGTTAATAACCATACCATCCCTTCCTACTTCTTCTCCTTCTTATCCTCCACCACAATCGGATTCGGATTCCCACCATAAGTCAACTCCCTCGGCCTCATATACTCCTCCCTAATCTCCTCCGTAACCGCAGCCCTCCGCTCCTGGAACCCCAGCACATACTTCTGCAACTCGGCAATACACAACCCCTTAATCTCCCCCGTCAACATCTCCCCACTCTCATACGCCTTCTTTATCCTCTCCAACTCCTCATCATCCTCCAGGAAAAACGTAAGATACTGAAACGGCACATCATTCTTCGTATTCCCCCCCAATTCCCTATGAAGTTCAACCGTATCCCGTCCCCCGGAGAACGCATACTTGTTAATCTTATTCTTAATCCGATTCGGCGCATCGTTCATGAAGATGGCGGATGCGTCCACGCTAGCTGACATTTTTGACCCCGGCCCTTGGAGCGCGGGGAGGAAGATCGAGTGGATGAGGGAAGGCTTTTTGTATTTCATTTTCTCGGCGTGTTCGCGGCATTGGCGGAAGTAGGGGTCTTGGTCGATTGCGCAGGGGATGAGGCACGGGATCGCGGAGGCCTTTTTTCTGTCGGTGCCGAAGATGTGAGGGAAGCTGGTTGCGAAGGCGGTGGCGGATTGGGTTGCGCAGAAGTGGAATTCGCCGACGTTGTTGCTGTGGGCGGGTTAGTAATGAGGGGTTTTGGGGGATTGGTGCTTGTGTTGCTTACCTTTCGTTGAAGCCGAAAGTCCCCTTCACCGAGTTCATGGTTATTCGCTTAGCCATGCGGCACATATTCTCGTAGAATGCGCCTCCGATGAAGTCGAAGTCGCTAAATATGAACGTCTTCTTCATGTCGAATCCGACGGCAATGATATCCAGGGCGTTTTGCTTCGCATATCTCCTAGCATCATCTATGTCAATCTTGGGCGAATGCATATATTTCTCATCGTCAGTGAGCATAATAACGAGCGGGACGTCGAAAACATCTTGTAGCCACCTAGAACGAGTAGAAGTTTAGCTAGCTTTCCTATCAATGTAACGAGACGGGGGGGTTTGCGCGCACTTTGTAAATTCAAATGGGACGGTATGCCCAACATGCATACTATCACTACTCGGGCCCCTCCCAGTATACAAATAAAACGGCTGCCCTTTCTCATATCGGTCCAGAATCAAATTGAGCTCCCGATGGCTGAAAACAATCCCTCTCCGCATGAACCTGTGCGGTTTTTTACCCGTCACCTTCTCGAAGCGCACAAGTAGCTCTGGGGAGATCGGAGTCGCGCCAAATTCCTTGATTAATTTGTCATAATTGACAGGAAGCAGTTTCCCGGTTTCATCGACACCCCCGGAGACATCGAATGGTGTGACTTTCTGTTCCACGACCTGTGGTTTCTCTGATATATTCAAGTTCTCGACCGCTGGAGGGGCAGATTCGGCGGCCATTGTGACTGAGGGACTCTCTCTCTGAGGGTTGGGGATTTGAACAGAAATAGATGTTTATTCCGTGGGTGGTTCTCCTCTGAGATATCCCTCTGGTATTTCAAAAGAAATTGAAATATCTATTTCTTTGCGCGGTTCAATCTCCCTCACTTCCAAAAATTAATCTAATATCTTCCCCCGCCAAAAGTGACTCAATGCAAGTTGGGATGTTCTTGTCAAACAGTACAAACATCCATGTATTATCACGTGAGAAGGTTAAACCCACGACATTTCAGATACTCACCACGACTCATATTGTTTCTGATCAGACGACAATTCTCTCCCTCCCTCTCTCAAATTAATAGGGTACTTCTGCAGTCAGTCAAGTGCAGAAGGAAATAAACAAGAAAAACGGTCTGTCTGGAGAGGTGAACGTGTGTGGATTGGAAGATCTAACTAAGGGAGCTATCTTAAGGTGATTGTCGGATCACGTGGTCTATGGTAGGCTTATATAAGCTGACAGGGTCAAATCGACCACAATGAGGGCAAAAAAAAAGAAGTGAAAACTCCAGTACGGGGAATCGAACCCCGCGCTGCTCGGTGTCCTTCATTTGAAAGCGAGCGATGTTACCGATACACCATACTGGATGATTAAGCTTTCCAATTTAGGAAAACTTGGCATCTTAATGTAATCCAAGAGGAAAGGTTTTCGTCGTGCTGGGGGGGGGTCTTTCCTATTATTTATTTCTCAGCGGAGGGTATCCCAACCACTCTCTCTACCCCTCTGAAAACTCCGGCATAGTCTATCGGTTCTTGCTAAGTACGTCCTAAACCGTCAGACCATATCGGATGGATTGCTATAACCCTATTTCCCCATGGAAGTGTTGTTGTCGGTCTTCACTGCCTGTAGTCATTGTTGTGCCCACCACTTATTTGATGTTGCTGAGATATACTCTCACGCCGGTTGTTATGAGAATAACTGCCTTGTCTCTAAGATAGAAGAAAAGAAGATAAGGATCTCAATCGAAGAGTTCCCTTGCTTAACTTCTTTTTTGGATACCTTGCCCAATTTTCGGGCTCCCTCTGGATCTCTTCTGACCTCTCATCTCTTGCAGCTCTCTGAACTCAGCAAACATCTCCTTTCTATCTATTTACTACTGTTATTTATGTACATAAGTATACTACATCATCATTATTCATTCGTATTAACACAGTGATAGAGAGAACGAGAGAAAGAAATAGATACAGGACAAAGAATCTCCATCTCATTTTGTCCTCTCTTCATCACTCTTGTCCGGTGATAGGGATCACATTCTCTTTCTGTTCCTTAGGGCTTCCTCGACTGCCGCTCGCGCCACGCGAATTTCACTTCTTTGAGCAATCGATCCCCCGTAAGTGTTGAAAATCGTCGAAACAGTGTTCTCTTTATCTATTCTCAGGCATTAGTTGGTTCGAAGAAGGTCGTAGAAAAACTTACACGAAACGAGAGCATTGATCCTATCTTCAATCTCGTCAATTTGAAGGCCCGACTCCATTAACGCGACAGCGAGGTAGCGCCGAGGCTTCATATAAGTCGGTCCGGCAGGGCAAACAGCCGGGTCGAAGAGCTTTCTGGACGCCAAATTCGTTGACAGTTCGCTCATGGTGTCATAAACTCTCTTGTTGCCGGTATGTTTGGCCCGCCATTCATGTTCGTCGAAAGCGAAAATACTCGGGAATTCCAGGTTCAGGTGACGTCTCATTCTGTCCGCCTCGTGCATCGCATCAAGTCGATATAAGACCTGTTCCAAGCGCATATCGGTGTGTTCTGGCTCGAGCTCCTTGGTGTTATAGTCCTTTATAAGCGATCGAAGAGTCCGATGCAGTGCCCCATTTGTACCGGCCTCATCAAGTCCTGGGAACGAGTTGAGATAAATTTGCCCTAAGTACCGGACAGCGCGCCGTTTGAACCCCCCTCTTTCAATAGATGCGGAACGGTCAACAACGCTCTCGTCTGGATCTCCTGGGTTTGATGTTTTACCTCCCCCAGGACGCAAAAGGCGAAGACTTTCCCAGCGAGTTTGGTATGAAAGCAATGGCAGGCCTGATCTTCGACGGTATTCTGTCTCCCAGTTATCATCCTGTGCAGAGAATCGCATACCAGACTCGTTGACGAGCGGATCAATTTTCTTCAGAGTCTCCCGTATCCGTTCAGAGAGTTCAATATAGGTCGGATGATAGCGCATCTCGTCTCTAGAGGCGGCTGGGTGGTCTAGATCAACGAGAGTCCGAAGAATCGCCGAAGTAACTCTACTCCCACAGGCACGACCAACAGAAGATGAAACTGGCCAAGAATACGATTCATGTTCATGGTCAGCAGCTGCTATACCAGTGACATCGAGTGCAGGCCGGATAGATTTCAGATCTGGGCGAACGAGCCACCCACCACTGTAACAGGACGTCATCAATAGTGTCGCTTGCGTGCCTGGCCGGAGGGCCAGCTGTACTTGGTCAATCAGCATCCTTGGGCCTTCGTCTGTATTCCCATCCCCCCCGAGTTGTATCCCGTATGAACCCGCATCTCCATGTCCGAATATTAAGATGAGCAGCGGTTCACCTTGTTCGACAGCGAGTCTTGACTGTTCGCGAAGGCTGGCCAGAAATCGCTCGTGTATAAGTGCTCGAGGAACTACGCGCAAGCGCTCAGAGTTTTCAATACTTGGTAGTAATCGATCCTCGAGAACAATCCTTCGATCCTTTAGGGGGTCTCCATGTGCATATTCAGAGTATTTTTCAACAAGAGCTCGAGGGGATTCACATGTTAACCAAAGTTGACGTGAGAGTGAGCTGTCTGGGAAATCATCTGTTCATTGGGATAATTAACTTCAGAATAATTCACCCAAGAGCGAGAGAAGACTTACGAGACGGTTGAAGTAGTTGAAAGAAGAGATAGAAATCTGAGAGGAAGAATCCACTTTTTGTCGGGCTCGCATCGTCGGCGTAATCAGTGACCCCACAAACCGCAAGTATCCGAGTGTGGAGTTGAACATCAGGGGGGCAGTGAGTGATGAATTCCGAGTTCAGGTCTTCGGGCTGTCCTGTCGTTTTGCCCGCCTCGCATGGGTTGATGGTCTCCATTTTCAGACGCAAGAGTGTGAGGATAAAGCAGAAGATACACTTCTTGATTGGTTCGTATAGCCGCTGGATGAAGTGGATTAAACAAATGTCTGGGATCTGGAGTTAGAAAAGAGGATCAACGCTCTTTGGTAGCAGAGGTGACTTGTAGCTCAGATGAATACCAGTGAATGGAAGAATTTATCAAGAAACCGAGAATTTGGGGTCGTAGAATGGGAGTCACTCTGCCTAGCTATATAAAATGAATAAAGAGAAATAGAATTTCCCAAAAGAACTACGTATGCATGAGAGAATAGAGATACATGGGAGAAGTGGAAGGAGCCCAGTTGAGGGTAACTTGAAGACGAGGAAGGGATGAGTAATGAGATCAGGAGGGATAAAAGTGAGACCAAGGAACCAAGGTGGGTTCGGGTTCTAAGGTCAATGGTCTAAGTTCGTCTCTATGTTTGCTTGAAAGAAAGATTAAAAATTGTCGGACAAAACGGTAGGCCGGAGTTGTCGAGGATCACCGGCAAATATGAGTGAATGCCTTTGGTCGATATTCGGTGAGGACTTTGCACATCTCACAATCCGTTGGCTTCGCGGCTTCATCGACGGTGGCCCATCTCCTTGGGCTTTGGGAAACCGCGATATATAGAGGATAGGCTTTATATGATATGGTACGTGTATCAGATGCGATCTAATAGAGGGATGAGTGCGTTATCGGGTGGGCGCAGGGGGAGAAGCTGCCCATGGTGGAGGTCGTATATAGGGAGAAGGGTGACTTAAATAGAGGGATGAAGGAGGCGAATCGTATAAGAAACTGTACACACAAAAAGAAAGAAAGAAAGAAGAAGGAAGAGAAAAAGAAGAGGAAGAAGAGAGGGGATTATATAGGATATGGGTCCAGTGAATGTTTCCCACAAACACAAAAACGGTGAATGTTTTTGGAAAAAAAAAAAAAGAAATACTCAGTGAATGGTCATGAATTTGCCATTCACTGAGAGCAATTTCAGGCTCCCACTTTAACCGAAGAATGGAGATATCTCTACTCTTCACATCCCCCATCCCATCGCATGCCTCTTCTCCTGATCCCTTTCTTCCTTTGGCGTCGACGAGATCTTGATGCCAAGGTACCCCACGTGACATTACCGCATCTAGACTAGCTCACCTCTTCTCCACCTCTCTTTCATCATTTTCCTTTCTTGCCCGTAAAAAAAGAGAAAAGAAGACACAAAAAGACAGAAAAAAGGACTCCCGGAAGACGTGGAAAGCCTGCTGTCTGGTCTTGAGATCCTTCAACACCGCGTCGGGGCAATCCATCTTTTCAACCCGCTTAAAACGATGTCGATTTCGTGACAATGAAATTCTTCGAAAACGCCTTCACCTATGATTACTCCTTTCCCGCGGTCTCTCTTGCGTACTTTCTACGCTATCCGAACCCGTACTCCCGACATGTCTTAACTACCGATGTTATCGATCGATATATCGATCCCGAGACCCATCGTCTTCATACCACAAGGCTGCACCTGAAGCGTTCCAAGATCCCGTCTGCAATGCTCAAAATCCTCCCGAGGGGCATCGGAGGGTCGGAGAATGCTGGTCAGAGCTATATTCTCGAAACGAGTGTGGTGGATGCGAAGCAGGGCTGGATGGAGACGGAATCACGGAATATGGAATGGACGGGAATCCTAAGCGTCGTGGAGAAGCAGCTTTTCCGCCGACAGCCGATGCGTGATGAAATTTCTGGCTCGCCACCGCTTCCAATCTATGATAAAGGTGCCAAGACGGATGTTACAACCACGGTCACCTTCAAATCACGGCTTGGCCAGGGTGCGATACTTGGGAATAGGAAGCGAGCGGAAACATTCCCAGATCAGTCAATGGACGGGGAAGACGATGCCCCCAGAAGAGGGCTTTTTGCATCGTGGTCCACGGCGGGCATCCAGAGGACAATCGAACTCATTGGTGTGAAACGGACCCGGGATGCCGTGTTCAAGAGTAAGCAGGGAATGAACGTGGTTCTGGAGCGGCTACGGAGTGGTGGAATCGTCGGCGTGCTCGAGGGAATGCGTCAGGACCGTGACGCTGCGTTCGGCCCTGATGGTCCTTGGAAACGCTCGCTGCTCCATGGAAATGGCAACAACCAGTACCCACACGATGTCAACGGCACCGACGACGACTGATACCCTGTGCTGGCGTCGAATAAGCGAAACTCCCTGGTATGACACGTCTCGGCCCCACGAATCACAATCTTCACTCTACTGTTCGAACCATCGGACCACTCATTCAACTTTCAATTAAGCGAGGAGTTCTGGCGTATATATGGGCACTCTTTACATTTTCTATTCTCTGTACGACTTCCGATATCTGTGATCGGGGGGATGGTTTAGGTTGGGCGAGGGTGGAAGGAAATGCCCGGAAAATAAGGGTTCTACATCTCTGTACAGTATAGTTGAAGGCGAGAAACTCGTCAGCATCATTCACTTCGTGTCGGTGGGCACTATTGTATGTTAATTTGGCTTTTATCTTCGGTTATCTACTGATCATGATAT